TTTAGGTTGGAGTGGCATCATGTTCCCCTAAATTTGTTCTTGCTTGAAGTTACTAGGTTTCTCAAGGGTGTGACTAAGCCACGGAGATACCCCCATGAAAGAGACATATTGGACTTTTAAATAAAGTGACTTCATGTGTCATTCATACAAAATATCAAAGTGTCCTGCATGTGCCAATGCTGGATGTAAATGTAGCCATTGATCTTGACAGAATTGACTTATTATAGGACCCCTGAGTTATTTAGAACCTCCCAATATATTGGAATTTTTCTAAGAGTAAGTGTTTATTCCTCTTCCCTCAGAAGCACTTTCTCCTTCTTTAGGTGAGCCAAGTCATGATTGGCCAATAGATACCTTCATGTGGATTATGTTCAAGGTCTACCTTATAGCTCATCATGATCTTTTTCTATCCCCAGTGAAAGCTGCATTTCTCCACTTTTTGATTTCAAGACCAATGTTTTAAGTATATTGGAATCACTGAGAGTCCTCTATTAATTTAGTCATTCATAAAATCCTAAATAGTCATTCTCATATGTTATTGATGAACCCAGTGTTTAGGGAAGAGTGTTGAGAACTCTAGTGCTCATGGTATATATTAAGTAAAGATTATTCTCATGGTGTATATTAAGTTTATCCTCTTTCATCCACATCTCCACTGCACTTCCTCCTCACTTTGTTGACTGCTGAGAGCCACGGCCGGCCGGGTCTGTATGGCCCCTGGCATTTTGCCAACAGTATTGGTTGACAGGCGAGGCATTACTATCCACCTCCGCAGCTGCTTTGGAGTTCTCATGGGGATTCCCGGGGATTCCCCGAGAGTTCCCATTGGTTGGGGAAGTGCAGGAGGAGGGATTTCCGGGAGAGATATTTCCGGCTGGGGGTTCCTGGACGAGCCGCGTGGCGTTCTGGAGAATTCCCCGGGAGCGTGTGTGAAGTGTTTTCTTGCAGTTCAAAAATAAAGTTTGTTCCTGCTTCAGTGGCTCGTGATTTGTGCCCAGCCAGACTGCGGCAGTTGACCATCTTTCTGATCTCTATTTCTATGCTTTTGATCTTATCGAGATTGAGATTCCACATATAAGGGCAGTCATGTAGTACTTTACTAGTGTTTTTACTGAGCATGATGTCCTCCAGGTCCATCCAGGCTGGGACAAATGGTAGTTTTTCCTTCTTTTCCAGTGATGACTAATGTCCCTTTGTATTTATTTTCAAGCCAATGTTTCTTTATCCATTTACCCATGAAGGACATTTATGTTGTACCTGTATCCTAGGTATTGTGAGTCATACTGCAATGGACAGAGGAGTAAAGATATTCCCACTAGGTGCTGTTCTCATTTCCTTTTAGAATATATCCAAAAGAGCAATTGCTGAGCTATACTATTCTGTTTTTAATTTTTGATGAATTTTCGCACTGGTTTCCAAGAAAGATGCAGAAATTTGCACTCCAACTGATAATGTACAAGAATTCCTTTCCCTCCATGTGCCTACCAACACTTGTTGTCACCTGTCTTTTGATAATAAACATCCTAACAGGTGTGAGTTCATATCTCACTGTGGTTTTCATTTGCAGTTAGTTGTTAGCTATGTTGGATGCTGACTTTGAACTTGAAATCCTCAAGTTCAAAGAGGCTGCCTCAGCCTTTCAAGCTTCTGGGATTACAGGCATGCACCACTATGCCTGGCCCTGAGTTAACTCTTGCCACAATATTGTACCATTTTAGTCCACAGTCCCATATTCAGTGCAAGGATATGTCCTAAATACTACATTCATATCTATAGAAACACAAAAATGAATAAAAATGTTTCACATGGTATAAAAAAATAAAGTTTCATCTCTTCTTTTATTTAAAAAATGTTATTTTCCCAGAATGCAAAGTCCACTATGAAAAGCCTCTAAGATTTAAATTCTGTACCACAAAATTTCACCAACCACCACTCAGCTTCAGAAAAAATGCCTCACTTATGGAGATGAAGTTAAGAAAAAGAACCATAAAATGGGACATCTGTGTAGGCAAGACAGGTTTTAAAATTGAGTTGCCTAGACTGTGCCTCTAGGTAGAGGTAAATAAATATGCTATTGCTGTAGTAAGAGGAGAATAAAAATTTATCACATGATAAGTCCTTTCCAGACAGTGGATCTAGCTGAACATAAGCAGAACAGAGAGCAGAATTTTTATTACATTAGTGCATTGAGAGTTTCATTATTATAACACCTAGCATAGCTTTGCTAATAGGGATAACAAAAAATAATAATTAGCTAGTTACTCAGATTGCTTAGCCTGTAAAATTCATAGTGTGGTCCATCAGTAACTTCCTTAATTTTAGACATCAAAACATTAAGTAAAAAATAATGCAATTCATAATGTGGGACATATACACATAGGTAATACTATGATGAACTTACCCACATCCATTCAATGTCCACAACCATACAGTTTCACTTGGTGGTATATTGGAGAAACATTATGTTAAAATACCACCCTCTGAGGTAAAATAACCAAAAGGAATTTGAAAATATATGTAAACATTCAGAAAAACATGAAGACATTTAATAATTTTGATAAGTGAAGAATAAATGAATGTGCAATTAGAATATAATAAAATAAAAGGAGTAAAATTTTTAAAAACGTAAAAAACAAATAAAATGGCAATAAGTTAAAAACAAATATGTGAATATATGAAAACAAAACAGTGTCATCTCAGAAATAATAAAGAATTAAAAATGTGCATTACAGAAAAGTTATAACAATAATATATCAAATGGCCAAATAACTTCTCTCATGAGCAAGATCAAGTAATGAGCCTTCCAACATAATATGTCAATTGTATTTTTACATGATTTTATGTGTTTATTCATTTTCTATTTTATTATTTGCACTTTTACTATTTTTTTTTACTTGTATTTGCTTAATTTGGTCTTTTGACTAGATTCTTATTTTGGAGCATAGATCATTAACAATTTCTTCTTTTATGTATTAACTACTGATAACTATGAATTGATAGCAGTATTCTGCATCTCAGAAGTTCTTACATATCTTCTTTTCATTTTCATTTATTCAAGGTATTCATCACCCTTTTTGTAAATAAATCTTTTACTTACAGTTTTTAAATTAAATTTTCATTATTTCTAGTTTTCCCATCTTATCCTGTGTTTGATATATAGTAGTAGGCAAGTGTTATGTACAAATGCATTCAATTGTACAAATTCATTTTGATGCATGTGAATCACTGCTAAATAAAAAGGCACAATTTAAAATAGAATGACTGCTGAGTTAGGATAACTGATGCTATAACTTATGTCCATGGGTCAAGAGTAGAAAATAAATCCCTCCACAGCACAATGTAAGAATAAGTAACACAGAATTTCAGGGAGACAGGTCTTCAATTTTCAGTGTCTCTGAGAATGGATGTCTATTTCCATTTGTTCCCTTGGGGAATCCCAAAATCAAGATTTTAAGAGCTAACCATTTTCATTGTTAATCTCTGGGTTTTACAATGTCCATTTTTGATTTCCATAACACATTTCCTTTTTATTCTTTATTTGTATTGATACAGGGCATAGGTTGATTTTCACTGGGTGAAAAATTCTTGCACAATGGACAGGGTTTATAATATATGCTTTATTGAGCAACATATAATCATACTCTAATGAAATAAATTTAAAGTGAAAACTATTGGGAATGAATAAGGAAGTGAGAAGAAAGGGAAAAAAAAAACAGCAAAGAAAACACATGACTGTAAAAGGTAAACATAAGCAGAATTAGAGGAATCGGTCATCAGCACCATGAAGAAAACACAGCTGCTTCCCAGAAGAGTAAATTCAGTGACTATTAGTTACATTTCTAGAAAGAAAAAAAAAGCACAGTTTAGATTTTCCAGTGAAAATCAATATCAATCCAAATAAAGAAGAAAAAGGATCTATAATAAAACATGCAGGGAAACTATGGACAATATTCAAAAATCCTTTCATTGTAGTACAACCACCAAATTAGGAACAATTTAGAACCAAGCTTACTGTGGACTACTGATGCTTTCATTTATAAGTCAGAATATATCCCCAAATGCAGAACATATCCCCAAATATACCCACAGGTTGGTAAAAGGCAGATTATTCCCTTTGACAAATTTGAAATAGACATAAGGGATAGAACAGGGCACTCTTTCATATAATTTTAGACAAATGCCATAAGATAAGAATATCTTTTTTCCCCATGAAAAAAGTTTTTCATAAAATTATGATTTGTAGGAAAGTGAAAAGTCTCAATCTTTTATGGTCTTAACCATCTGTGAGTACTATGGAAGAACATGGAAAAAATCAGAAGGGAGAGAACTAAGACTTTCTGATTTCTTTCCCAGTCAGAGTGTAGTTTGCCAAAGGCTTGGTGGTGGTCCTACAATGAAAGGTACCAAGGTTGCCAGATGGTTTTGCAGGAAATTATTTCAGAGATGCAGGCACCTAGCAGATCACTTTTGTAAATTTCCTGAACTGGGCTCAGGAACAGTGTGTGCTGTTTTTACTGTAAGTATTTTTCATGAACTAGAAAGGGGAAAGAGAAAGTCAAAGGCTCTGAAGACTATCACTGTGAGCAAAATAAACAAAGTAGAAATGGAGGTGTAAAAAGTGCAGACACGCCGATTTATGGGAATAATCCAATGTACTCTCTGTTAGTTCATAGAAATCAAGGTTTCATAGAAACCAAGCTTACTGTGGACTACTGACGCCTTCATTTGTAAGTCAGAATATATCCCCAAATGCAGAATGTGTGCTTTATTAGCACGATTTATAGGGACAAATCATTAAGATTTGTCCTTACAATGAGGAAGGCTGTGCAAGGCTTTGTCACTCAAAACTGCATGTGTCTGAGGAATAGATGTAAAGGATTATCTCTGTCAACATCATGTGCTTCATCATCACAGGAACCCATGTGCAAGAAACAGGGCAGGAAGAGGCCATGTAAAGTAAAGCCTCCTTATCGCATCGCCCAGCAGGGAACCCTGCCTGGTTGAGTAAGACCCATGTGCAATGAGTACCCACTGCCCACAGTCCACAGCGCCCTACTGAAATGTGGATATTATGCTGTTTGGGTGTCAGTTCCTGGGACAATTCTGAATATAATGACCTTTCCTGGTCCTGAGAGCAGATGCCTCGTTAAGACTAAATAATACTGTTGATCAGAGGTATGTAACTCCCCTGTTTTTTGTTTGTTTGTTTGTTTGTTTTTGTGTGTGTACATGGCTATTTCTGTGAACTCTAAGAGGGTATGTTCAGTCCATATCCAAACTGAGGCTCATACAAAATTTTCTGGAGCTGTCCCCTGGAACAAAATCTCAGGAGTAGTTCAATCTTCCACAAGCTATTAATTCTGGGAGTAGTTGTTTGGGATGGTCATAACTGTTTATGGGCATAACGTTTTTTTATAACTGACTATTTAGCTGCAAACTCAATGTGACAATTTTATAGATGCATACAACACTTATGATGTGTACTTTGAAAATGTCTAAAATCATGGTAGCAATTGTAAAGTCAGAAAACGTGTTATTAAAAACCATATTCTGTCCCAAATGTGTAAAAGAACAAAGTAGTTTTCCAATCATTACAAGGCAAGGCTATTTTCTATTTTCAAATATATATATGGACATAATATCTTTATTTATTTATTTTTATGTGGTGATGAGGATTGAACCTAGTGCTTCACACGGATGAGGTGGGCGCTCCACCACTGAGCTACAGCCCCAGCCCACAAGGCTATTCTTGAGGCTTGATTATCCAATTTGTTAATATATATTTAGCTTACATATTTTTCTCTTAATACTAAGACTTTGATTCAAAGGGGTGTGATGGCCTCAATATAGAATTATATTTTCCATCTCTTTATTATCATTGAGAGAGTGAGTGGATCTTACCTTGACAAGATTCCAGAGAGAGTGCTAATAAATCAGCAATCAATGAAACACCATTTTTAAAAATATGGATTTCTAATTTCACAAAAGAATCAGTCACTTTTTTTTTTCAGGAAGTCATGCCATTTTGCTTTGGAGGTGAAATGATGATGCAAAACAAGCCTGGGAAAAATTTTTAAAAAGTAACAAACTTTTTTTTTTTTGGTAATATGTGTGATGGTTAGAGTTATCTAAAGTATAATCCAGGTGTAATTATAATGTCATGAGATATATAAAAGAAAAAAACACACTTTTTAAAAAAATAAATGAACATGTATGCTTTTTGTGGAAAAAAAAACCCCATGTTTTGAATATTTTGAGGATGGGAAGATAGAGTGGAAGTGTAATGTCAATGTTGTGGGGGCAATTCTATAGGAAGGATTATCTACCTGAGCTAAGCAAAAATATTGCTATTCCATGTGCAATTTCATAATCTAAACAGTAGTTCACATATGCTAGTGTCTTTTGTCTTTTCTTTCCCAACTAGTTAATTTCACTGGAAAACAGATACTGATATTTTTGTTCTTGGGAACACTCTTTAGAATAAAAGAAGCTCTCTTCCTTCTGTAAATAAAACAACAAATTTTGTATTAAATGAACATAGAAAAATGTTTACTTTAGCGGTCTTGCTTTAAAATAATTTCCTAATAAATTTGATTATATCCATATACCACACATCTGGAAATTTGTTATAATGGATCCTGGAAGTTAAATGAGGAACAGTTCATTTTCTACCAGGAATGGTTCAAGTTTCTAATAACATCACCTCAGGAAAGAAATGCATGTGAGAAAGAATCTGTATCCATCACCATGAGGCTCTCCAAGGTGATAGTGGCCTATGTTTAAACTCAGGATGATCTAAGTCTTGAAATAAGAGAGAAGCTTTGCAACCAACCAGGAGGGAAAGCATTCCAAATACATTAGTATTTCCTGAAAATTTCTGTAGGTGGATCATGATGGCTGAACAGGTGTGATGCCACGCCTTGTATGTAGCAATTCTGGTTGAGGATCTAGGGCTGTGATTGAGCATCCTGTGTGTACTGGTAATTCAGAACCATCAAGAGAACCAGGCCTTTTATGTTACTATGAGCAACATGGTATCTAGAGCATGCATATTACTATGTGGCTCAATAAGGACAACATTTGGAATAATGCCTAAATTTACTGCAACATTTTTAGGGATGATAATGTTTGTGTGGAATGAAAGAGACTCACTCTTTCATCTCATTCTCCAGGCTAACACATTATCAGTCACTAGGGGATTCCCAGGTTGTGAAGAGCAACATCATCAAGAGACATAACTATGAACCTTCCAGGTAGGAACCCAGTCATCTGCCTGGATCACCCTGGGCCGGTGACTCTCCCTCAGGATGCACAGAGCAAGCTGCAGAATTTCATGAAAGGGGAGCCAGTTATTCTTGGGGTAAGTGTTTTTAAGGCCATTTAAGTATGAGGTGGCATCACATTCTCCAAAGTTTTCTCTGGGTCAAAGTTACTAGATGCCCCAAGAGTATGGCTAGCCCAAGGATATACCCCCATGAAGGAGATTCTATGGGCTTTTAAAAAATGACTTCCATGAGTCATTTACGTTAATTATCAAAGTTTCCTTCATATGGCTGTGCTATATATAAATTGCTGTTATTTTTGTTTGTTTGGGTACCAGGGATTGAACCTAAGGGCATTTTGCTACTAAGCCACATCCCTAACCCTTTTTATTTTGAGACAGGGTCTTGCTTAATTGCTTAAAGCCTGGCAAAGTTGCTGAGGTTGGCTTTGAACTTGTGATCTTCCTGCCTCTGCTTTCAAAGCTGCTGGAATTATAGGCATGAGCCAACATGAGCAGCCAGGCATTATTCTTTACAGAATCCCTTTTATTACAGAATCTCCTCACGTGAGGACACAAGTTTTCTAAGACCAATGCTTGTTCCACCTATCTCAAAATTGCTTCTCCTTCTCTAGGTGAGCCAAATCATGCTTGGTCTGATGAATATTTGCCTATGGATTATTTTAAAGGTCTCCCTTTCATCTGATCATCATCTTCCTCTAAACCTATGGGGCATTGAATTATTCAACCTTTTCTTTTTGGGACAAGTTTTTGTAAGTAAATTGGAATCACTTCACTTCTCTATTACTTTATACATATACGTGATCCTTCATGGTAATTTTATTATTATATTATTGATGGGACTAGAGTTGGGAAGAGTGTTTGAGAAACATTTGGTCATAGGAAAAAAGAGGTATTCCTCTAATAACTCATTTACCTTTATAATTATACAGTATATCATGTCTGGAACTCTGTCTGTTGTGTCTGGAAAGAAAATGACAAAACGAATGGTGAGTCTCCTTGTAATTTAAGAACCTTAAGATGCAAAGGGTAGGTCAACCTTGATTTCCATAGGATCAAATGCTGGCAGTTTCCCTAGGCCCTTATTTGAAGTCCCCAAATCATTCCTCTCCAGGCCCCACAGTTAACATTGTCTGCATTCCACTCCTGAGGGCAAATGTGCCAATACCTCATAGAAAATGTGCATAATACACTATGAACTTCCATTTTAGCTAATGTTAATGGAGTGAACACACATGTACAAAAGAACACATACATGTCCACAAAAGTGTTCCGATAGGGATTCAGTTTTCTGGTTCTCTTTCAGATTTGTGGCAGCCTAGGTATGAACATCGTGAGCAGTGTCTTAGCAGGAGCCTCACTAGTAATACTTGCTTTAAGTTTGGAGGAATCCAGATGGATATCAGAGACAGGAATTCTATGTCTCATTTATGTGAGTATTTCCAGAGCCATGGATAAGACTTCCTGACATGTGTCTGCATGTATAAAGTTCCTTGCAGATTTTATCCTCATCTCAAGCAGATGATAGGGGCACAGGTTAAAAGTGATGAATTTGTTGAAGAAAGATGGTCAGAGCCTTGACCTAAAATGGATACATTTCTCTGTGCTGTAAAATATTGGTGATGAGTTTTCAACACACCGCTTGAAGCTAAATGAAGCCTCTAAGATGAAAACACAAATGGCACGAATGAATGTATTTAGCGATTTTTATTCTAGCCTTGCTTAAGGTAAAAACAAGAGAATCTAATAGCTCTATTTGATTCAGAACAGTCATAGGGAAAATCCAGAATCTTCTCTAGGGACAACATTTTCACTCTAACATGTACTGAGACACTCAGTATATGATGAAGATGAATGGCCAAAAGATAGGTATGGATTGCAAAATATTCTCATTTCAGATACTTGAAGAAAGTGCGCTTTTTGAGCTGTCTTCTCTGATGCTGGTTTTATATATATATATAACTAAGAGATGATTTAAGTTGCATGACTATGATAAGAAATTGTACATTTGAGAGTCTGTATATCATAGTGGTTAATTGTGTTGCATCTTACTAAGAGATGATCTGTATGGGAAACCAGGATGGGGTAGATGTTATAATGTTATATCTGTCACTTAGGGGTGAAAGCAACAGTGTCTGTGGCGAGAACTGCCTCCTCTCAGTTCTCTAATTTCTTCTCCTACGTGGCTCTACTTGGCAGGGGATTCTGATCCTGAAGCTCACCATCACGGTGCTTGAGCTATTTGCCGCTCTGTCCCTGTCTGCTTCTGGATGCCAGACTGTCTGCTGCAGTGTGACCTCTGTAAGTGTTTCTGGTCTGGGGACCTTGGCATGCTCTCTGCTGTTTCCCTATGTTTAATTTAAGAGACAAAGAACATAAAACACTCAAACCCCTATTTCATGTACAAACCTGTGAGGACATCCTAGTATTCACTTTTGTCCCTGGAAGTAGCACATAAAATTAGACAGGACAAGAGCCTTCATGAGTGGGCACAATCAGAGAGAGGAAACTACACCCAAGGCAGAGCTGCAGGGCAGGAGGAGACCCAGGGCCATGGGCAACAGAACTGCCTTGGCTCACCTGCTGTGTTCTGATGTCTCCACAGGTGGTGGTTGACTTGTCCTCCCAGGAGCTAGAACTTTCTTTTCCTGATCTATATCATGAATATGATGAGGTGACTTTCCTACCCAGTTAAGTTGCTTAATGAAACAGCTTAATCTGGGTCCTTTTCCATATTGTCATCCTGACATCAGTGTCCAGATAATGAAAAGGGCTTTGAGTTCTCTCAGGAAAATAAATGTCATTGGTTTGTTGAAGTTGCCTTTGCTGTGGTCTCCCACTCCATCACTGATATGATGACCTCTGAACAAGGTAAATGAAGCATATTATGTATCTGCTTAGAACTGACAAAACCTCATAGCCTTTTCAACATGAAATAGAGACATTTCATGAAATGTGGAGCTATTTGGAGCCATTTTAGTATTCTGACTTGGCCTTGGGGTGGATATTTCAGTAAAACCGTTCATACCATGTCTCAGAGAGCAGACACTACTTTTATTGTAAACATTCATGGTTTACCACATGATGTTTTGATGTTCACATAGGTAGCAAAGTGATTGCTACAATCAAGCAAGCTAATATATCCATCATCAGAAAGTTGCCTTTTTTCATTGTGAGACTGCCTCAAAGCACTATTTTTCAATGTATGATAACTAATTTCCATATTCTTAATTATGTCTTCTTTCCAGAAATTTCTATCCAAGTCCTGTGCACATTTTATACATGAGTTTCTTTTTCTTTGTACATTGACTTTGTAAGTTCCTTATTTTTTTCTAATAAACTCTTAACAGATATATGGCATCCAAATATTTTCTCACCATTTTTATTTCATTTTGTGGACTATTATCTTTGATGTGCATATGTGTTTTAGTATGATGTTGTCCCACTGGTTTATTTTTGCTCTTATTGTCTGAAGTTTAGATTTTTTTTTTTTTTTAGAGAGAGAGAGATAGAGAGAGAGAGAGAATTTTTTAATATTTATTTATTTTTTAAATTTTCGGCGGGCACAACATCTTTGTATGTGGTGCTGAGGATCGAACCCGGGCCGCACGCATGCCAGGTGAGCGCGCTACCGCTTGAGCCACATCCCCAGCCCTGAAGTTTAGATTTGACATTCAAAAACTGCATGGCACAGCCCAAGCGTATTCTCATGCTATTTCCTTCTTAGGAGTTTTATGTTCCCAGGTCTTCGGTGTAGGTCACTAATTTCATTTTATGTTGACTTTTATGTATGGTATAAGATAAAATCCTAACTTCCCAATAACCCATGCAAGGTTGCTTTCACTTGTGCAAAGCAGTCAATGGGCTGCAACCCATTAGCAAAATAAAAGATGAAATCCCTCATGATCCTCTCCACAGGCTCAGCAAAAGCATTGGAGTTCAACATCCTTTTATTAAAAAAAAAAAAAAAAAACTCATATCAAATTGTGTATACAAAGCAATGTTCTCAATATAGTAAAAGAATTGTATGAAATATCCACAGTTAACAATGAAATCCTTGGGAAACATGAAGCTTTTCCTCCACAATCTGGTACAAGGCAAGGCCGGTCCTCATCACTTCCATTCAACATAGTCTAGAACAACAAAGAAGAGCAACCAGAGAAGAAAAAACGACAAGCACCTAAATTGCAAAGAAGTAAAATTATCCCTGTGTGCACATCACATTATTCTGCACATGGAAAGCCTAAAAGATCCACAAAATCCTTTAAGATGTCATAAATGCATTCAGGAAAGCTGTAAGACTAAAATCAAAACACAACAAGTTCAATTTCTCCATATTAGTAAACCTATCTGAAAAAGAAATGAAGAAAAAAAACACCATTATTATAGCATCTAAAAGAATAAAATAGATCAGAATAAATTAATCCAGAGGTGAAAGATCTTCACATCAAACTCTAAACAATGCTGAAAAGAATTATACAAGAAGTAAATGAGTGAAATGGGATGTCATATTCATGAATTTGAATAATTAATATTATTAAAATGTACATACTTCTCACAGTGATGCACCATGCAACTCCCATCAAAATTTCAATGGTATTTTTCAGAGAAATAGAAAAACAAAGTCCTTTTTTTTTAAGGGGAGGGGGGAAACACACACAGAAAAAGTTCTTTTCCTAGAAAGCAAAACCTGTTACAAAGGGACCCTAAGACTCAGATTCTGTTCTCAGAAAATTACTGACCATCTCTTAGCTTAAGAAATCATGTTAAGTGGTAAGGACATAAAGTTATGGAAAATAAATATTAAAAAAGAATGTCTATGTAGGCCATTGAGGATTTGAAACCCAGAGTTAGCCTAGAATGTTCCTCTGGGTAGGAGAGTAAATATGCCATTGATCTACTTGTATGAGAATAAACATTTATTGCATGAAATGCTGCAGTAAGTCCTCTCCAGCCAGTGGGATCTGCTGAGCTGATGCAGAGCAGAATAAAGAAAATTTTCCATTACATCAAGGCACTGAAGTTTTAGAGTTTCACTACTGTAACACCCAACGTTGACTTTACTAATACAGATAACAGAGGATAATTATGAGTTCAGAAGGCTTAACATATGCAAAATGGCAGTAGGGCCATCACTTACTCCCTTAATTTCACACAAACATCAAGCAAAAATTAAGACATATTATAAATTGATGTGTGTGTACATAGTTAAGACCGTAGTGAATTACTCACATGCATTCCATTTCCACAGCTGTTCTTCTTCCCTGGGTGAGATGTTGCAGAAACGTTACAAGTAAACGGCACCCTGTGAATAATTTTTTAAAAGTATTTCTAAATAAACAGAACTTAAGAGGAAACAAGAAGTCATTGAATAATTTTTAAAATGAATAACTGTGGAATTAAAATGTAATCACAAGTGTAATAAAATTTAAATAAGTTTTTAATATCAAAAAAATGATTTAATTCTCCAGTGAGAATTAAATGAGCCTGATGTCTATTGCCATTTCTCCCCCTTGGAGAACTCCAAACTCAAGATCCTAAATGCTAGCAACTCCCATTATTAATCATCTCTGTGTTTCTCAAGAAGCGATTTAGGTTTCCACAACATGTTTGTAACCAAGATTTTTATTAAAACGTCATCCCTGGAGAATCTGAGCTACACATGTTTTCCTACCACAAATATAAGGGACAGTCTCCTGCAGAGACTCTCCCTGGGGTGCAGCTCTGCCTTCTCTGGTGCTGAGGACCATGGCTCCCTAATTCTGCTCAGATTTACCTTCACAGTCTTGTGTTTTCACGTTGCTTTGTTGCTTTTTGTCTTTTATTTCCTCCTTAGTACTGACTCTTTTAATTCATTTTATGTCACTATGATTATATTAACGAACCATGTATTACAAACCTGGCCCATTGTGCAAGATTGTTTTGCCATGTGAAAATTAACCTAGGCATGGAGTCGACACCAGAAAGAAAGAAAAATACTATGTTCAAGAAAATAGGTGCTGAGAAACAACTGACAAGACTCAAAATGCTTTCATAGTAAAGCTACCCGCTAGTCAAGGATATACTGACATTTCCTCAAATTGGTAAAGTCCGACTACTCTTTTTTGAAATAGACATGTCAAGGATAGAACAGGTCAGCCTCCTAGGATACAGTTGTACAACAGGATAGGATAAGAATATCTGTTTATTTTTAACCTACAAAGACTTCTTTCTAAAATTATTATGCCTGGTAGGAAGGAGGGAAAAAAGAGAGGAAAAAAAAAAGCATCTAACATCTCCATCACTTGCAGACTTGTGGTGTCCCATTTCTCCACAGGTGGTGGTTGACTTAACCTCCAAAGAGCTGGAACTTTCCATATGTGCTCTGTATCATGACTAGGATGAAGTGGCTTTCCCACCCTTAAACTGTTTGAAAAATGGCTTAGTGTTATATTCCTGGTCTTTTTCCATTATTATCCAGTATATCAGGAAAATAAATATCATGGATTTGTTGATGTGAACATCAACAAATGCTGTGATTCTCCATTCCTCTTCCCTAATATGATCACCTTTGAACATAGGAAATGAAACATATTATTTGTGTGCATAAAATTGGCAGCATTCCTAGCCTTCTAAACATAAAAAGAAACATCTCAGGAAGTTTGTAGGTATTTGGGGATTCTGGTCCAGCCTTGAAGAGTTTGCTTCAAGAACAATGACATGACTTTCTTGGAGGCTGTTCACCATTTTCATTGTTAATATTTAAGAGAGATGGTGTGATGTTTTGATGTGAGCATGTGTGATGAAATGATTAGTACAATCAAGTAGATTAACATTTCCATTATTACACGCCATTGCCCTTCATCCATTATAAGACCCTCTGAAATCAATAATTCCAGCTAATTTCTAGTATGTAGAAGACTGTCACTCTTAACTGTAGTCATCAGGCTGTATCTCAGCTCCTAGATGTTAGATGGTAAATGACAGACTTTGTAGCTTTTTATCTACGTCTCAGTGGCACCTCTCCCTACCCATCACACACTTCTGTTCTCTATTTCTGTGTATTTGACTTTTTTAAAGATTCTAGATGTAAGTGAGATTGTGCAGAATTCTGTGTTTGCCTTATTTCACTTAATGTCCTCTAGATTCATCTTCACTGTCATAAATGGTAAAATCTTCTTTTCCATGTCAAATAATATTCCAGAATACACTATATAATAAATATTAATATGATATATATTTATATGTTACATGCAATTATACACACACACACACACACACATATATACTAATATTTTATTATTCTTTCATCCAGTATGTACATATATTTTTTCCCATGTCTTGAGTTTTTGGAACCAAGCAACAATGAACATAAGAGTAAACATATTTCTACAGGTTCTGATTTCATTTCCTTTTGGTTTATATCCAGAAGAAGGATCACTGAGTCTTATGATATTTGCATTTTTAATCTTTTCAAAAACTTTCACCCTGTTCTCCTTGATGGCTACACAATTTTAATCCCTATCAATGATGTGCAATTACTGGTTTCATTTTTTCTATATTCTTACTAACACTCATTATTTTGTCTTTTGATAATAGACATAGATAATAGTTGTGAGATGGTATCTCATTATAGGTGTAATTTGCATTTCCTAGTGATTAGCAAGGTTGAGTACTTTTTTGTATGCTTGTTGACAATTTCAGTGTCTTCCTTTGAGAAATTTCCATCTGTGTTTGAGCCATTTTTTAAGCATGTTTTATTTTTCTGTCAGTGTGTGGTTTCAGGTTCTCATATATTTGGAAACTGATCCTGTATCAGATATATGATTTCCACATATTTTCTCACAATATTCATTTCATTTAGTTGGTTGTTACCTTTTCTTTCCAAACTATTTTAGTTTTATCTAGTCTCATATGTTTATTTTTCCCTCTGTTGCCTAAATTTTATATTTATATCCAAAAAAGAAAAGAAAGAAACAGAAAAACAAGTCAAGATTAAAAAGAATATTCCTACATATGCTCTAAAGAGTTTTGTGTTTTCAGGTCTTATGTTTATGACATTAATCCATTTTGTTGACTTTTATATATGGTGTGAAACAAAAGTCCATTTTCTTAATAACTAAAAGTGAATTATCCATTCACATCCCGGTTGGTCTAATGTGTGCAAGTCAACCAATGGGTAAACTGCATTAGCGGAATTAAAGATAGAGAAAATCACATGATCATCAATCATGATGCAAAAGCATCAGGAAAAGTTTAATGTTCTGTCAAGATAAAAGCATATCACATTACGTACAGAAGACAATT